TTAAAGTCCATGGAAGCTTCGATGATACAATTATTATATGATACAATTATATGATATAATTTATAAATATATCATAACATTAATTTGTTAAATCACAATTAACTGATTAGTTTAATAACTTTAATTGTTCATGAAATACAATAACAAAATATAATATATTCTCAGATCAAAATTACAATATTACATAAGTTATCTAATAACATTATAATTTTAATCTGAGAATCCAATAACTTGTATGTAATATTATATTTTGGAATGCGTCTTAACATTGAGAATGACCTGATCAGCATCGAAACATTTGTTATTGTATTTCTCTATATTTATTTCGGAATATTAAATGTTCTTAATTTATTTTTAACTGGCTCATAACCCTTCTATTTATTTATATTGATTTATTTTAAGTGAGCCATATTATTAATTTATATTTCAATTGTTTAATTCAGGGTTGGCAACGTTACCTCATAAAAATAATTCATCATTACCGTTCTTTTTCCTAAAAAGTAACTCGTTACTGTCAAAATGTAATGAGTCATTTTTTTCTTGACATTAATAGAATATTATATGCATATAATAGCGTTTTTTATTGGCAAAACTTTTTATTGTTAGTGCACACTAAAACTGTTGTATACTCTAATCTAAATATAAAAATAAGATATCTGAGATAATATAATGCCTAAAGTATATTTTCAATCAAATAGCATAATAAAATGTATTGAGAATTTCGCGGTTTAACTCGTTTTTATATTTTTATTATTTTAATCATATCTTTACGTCGATTGTACAGCGGCTTTAAAGTGCACCGAATGCATATCGCTCTAATTACAATTAAAACTTTTACATTGACATAAAGAAAATAGACATAATAAAATAAATAGACATAAAGTAAGAATAAAAGTAACTAATAAAATCGTTACCATTACTCCAGAAATGTAACTGCGTTGAACGTTGTTATGAACGTTATTCAGAAGAAAATGTAACGTTGTGACTCAAGCGTCACCAAAAAGTAACTTATAACAGTAACGACGTTACAAATAGCGCGTTACTTGCCAATCTTGATTTAATTGCTATTTGATTAGAGAAAGAAATAAACTACAGAATTATTGGAAAAATTATTCTAACATTTATATGCAAATTTATATGCAATGTATTAATTTGTTTGTATTTATATTCAAATATTGAGTCAGATCTTCGATTACATAAAAATAACGTTACATGACAGTACATGTAAATAAAAAGTTTTATATAATAGAATACGATCAATTTTTCGTCATTATTGTCGCACGCGAATGAAATCCATTCTAATATATTTTTCCTCATATCTGATTACGTTTCTCTATGTCATAACAGTTTCTTAGTTCCTATATCATAAACGTTTCTTCTATGTCGTAAGAGTCTATTAAGCATTTTATCCTAATTCTATACAAAAATATTACTATTTTAAGAACACATCCATTTATTTTTCCGCTGTGATGCAATTGTACTACATGGGCTGAAAAGTCCCGGGATTTTTAATGAAAAGCGTTTTTTGAACAAAGTTATATTTATTCCTCAACATAGTTGCCTTTGAGAGCGATACACTTGATATAGCGATTTTCCAACATTTCGATGCCCTTTTTGTAGTTCGAAACATCCAAGCCTTCGAAATACGCCTCGATTTCCGCGATGACTTCCTCATTCGATGTGAATCTCTTTCCCTGGAGCCACCGCTTGAGATTTGGGAACAGATAATAGTCGTTGGGGATCAAGTCTGAAGAATATGGTGGGTGAGCAACCAATTCGAATCGTAATTGATCCAATTTGGCCATCGCTTTCAAGGATATGTGTAACGGTGCGTTATCGTGATGGTACAGAACGAAGGCGAAAGTAGCGCCACTTAAACGACTGTAGCTTGTAAACGAATGAACGAAATGTCATGAAACTTCATACATAAACTAGTGACAGATGAACCTCTCGAAATGAATCATGTTCATTTTCTAGTGACGTCACGTATTGAAAAATCCCGGAACTTTTCAGCCCATGTAACATTGATAAAAAGCAACATATTTCGATATATAACAAATAATATTTTATATATATATGTAAAATTTCATTTTTTGTAACTTCTCTTTTTAAAACATAATATAATATTAGCAAATCAATTATCAGACAAAATTACTTTTTTCTTGAAAATTTCTTATAAAAATATCTTCAAATCTTTCGATCCAATAGTACTCATATTTTTTTTTATTTTAAAACTTTTACTTTAAAAAGATATTATCGTGAAAATAAGAAAAAATTAAAAATACAGTTCAGAAATAAAATCCAGATCTTACAAACTTTGAATAATTCTGTCGTAATTATACTGAAAAGCAAAGCAAAGCTCAAAACAGAATTTTTTAAGATTATTATACAAATAAATTGATCTCGCGAATTGATGAGCAATTTTGTACAGCTACAATTGATATTTTTAACTCCAACTATATAATCGTCTATTTTTCTTCTTCAGATTACCTGCAATTCGTTTCAAAAGAAAAATACTTTTAGAAAACTTTTATAATATCTTTTTGCATTAAAACTTGTCGAACTATTTCTTTAAAAATTGCGATTATTAACTTTTCTCGAAAAATTAAATTTCTTAGTTATAAAATGTCGTTCATTCGATCAACAGGCTTTCTCGCGCATATTATATTATAGTGATGCTATTGAGTAAGATTGAAGTATTCATATATATTTGTGTCTATTATATTATAATATCTATTTATTATTATTTCTAAATTATTTGGGTGATCAATAAATAATCTTAATATGCATTATCTTGATTTTTGGGACAAAATTTAATTTACTTATTGAGAGATCATTTATTGCACATTACTCCTAAATCTAAACTTTGTAATGTGGATTTTCTAACCATAACTACTGGCGCGATTATTGTCTATATCGAGGAGAGCCTCTTAGCTACCAAGACACACCGTCGGTGTTCCTGACTATTTATTCTTTCGCTATATTTCTTTCCATTGTACTCGTACTCATCGTACGGAACTTCCAAAAGCTGATCGAAATGCAATTTCATCGCAATTTGATAGGAATAATTGGACGTCATAATAGCGGAGGCCAAGGTCGGCACTGCGTCGGCATTCATCACTTTGTTGCTGCCTTGTATCGTGATAGGTATTCTCACGTTTTTGCCACGTTTCAGCTCTTTTCCAAGCTCCAATGAAGAAGTGACCAACATTTCACCTATTCGTCGTTTCCCGTAATTGGGCAGAGTCGCTAGAAACATGATCTCGAGAATACAGTTGACGTAATAATGCTTGAAAAGATTTATTCGCGAATCTACGTTTATCATGAAGTCCACCAGAGCCTTCGATGATTTGTATCGGCAATTTTCACTAAAGCATTCGAAGAAGCTTTTCTCTGAACTATTGGAGGACATCTGATAAATTGAAAGTAGCCATAAAAAAATTTTAAATTTGACAACTTATTAGAGATCAATACAAAGTGTTGTACTGGAAAATTGTTCACTCACTTGAATTTTATTGAACGCGACTCCAACAACTTCGTTAGTGGTGACGTCGATGGCCACCATACTCACGCCGTCCTTAGCCGTGTACAAACAGAGCTCCTCGAGTTCCTTGGATGCTCCTGGTTCGGAATTCAGTTCCACAGCTATGCATATTTTTTCGTAAAGAAAGAAGCTCTTTCTTATCACATTGAGAGCACCCTCCAAGGTATCGTCCGACAAAGACTCGAATTCTATCTGACCGTTCTCCATAGAGCCCCAAGGCCGATAGTAGGACATATTTTTGTGCCTGTTGCTGAAAAACAAGCATAATTTTGTTACGATTATTTCGAAGAAGTCCAAAATGAAATATTAGGTATGGGAAAAAGTTCGTGGTGTTTTTTTAATGCTATCTAACGGGAAAAACGCTACGAACTTTTTCCCATACCTAATAATATGAACAAAAAGAACTTCAATTACTTCAAACAAGGGAAGGCTATGGAAGTTGGTGCAATATAAAAAGTGCGCATCAAATTAAAGTTTTAATAAGTCACATTTACTCACAATCATTAAATTATTTAAAATTTTACAACAGCTTATCTTAGTTTTAATCTGTTTTAAACGGAAATTTCAAAAATTATAAACTATCAAGTACATTTATGATCTCGCGAAGTGATGAACATAACAACTATAACTATCAACTATCAGCTATCATACTTCGAATTAGACATTAAAAAAGATAAAAGATATCTAAAAGATAAAAAAAGATCAAAATATATATTCTATTATAAAGATCGCACTTAATATTTTAATAATAAATTAATGCAACGGAAAAGTGTAATAAAAGACCGTCATATACTAATTATAAAAGATATAAATAAATTAAATAATAATACGTTAATAGTTAAAAGGAAACTAACAAATTCATCGGTTCGAAGCAAGAATCCTGTTAAATTCAATAAAAATAATATACAATTCTTGTCAATCATATATTGTAAAAAAAGCTAGTCAATCAATTAAAAAACAATCAGAAGAAATATTTTAATAAAGTCAAATAAAATAGAAAAGTAAGAAAACTTCTTATTTCTTAATATGGAGGAGTATGGATATTTAACAAGTGCATGAGGAAATATTTAGAGAATTTATTTTAATTTTAATAACAGACAATATTTATTAAAGAATTTATTTATAATAACAGACATAATAATAGATAAATAGGAAATGTAACAATAGAACAATTAATTTCTCCGAGTTATAAAAGTTGAATTGTATCTTATTTACTTTTTAATTTATTTATCAGAATTTACAGTCAAAAAATTGATTGTGCCTTTGCACCCCAAATTGCAAACGGTTAATCACACTTTTTTGGAAAAATTAAGTTTTTCAATTATGAAATGCCATCATTTATTCAGCAAACTATTTATCACGCATTATTTATTGTGAAATTGTTGAGTAAAAAAAATCTCGATAACGTGTGTATACAAAATAAAGTAAAATAAAATTGTACATTTTTATTTGAAGCAATAGTTTTCAAGAGATATAAGAATTTAAACGTGGTCAATTACGGACTATATTTAGACGTACATTTATCCGCTGAAGTGGACGTTAAACTACTTACGCATTACACATGACTGCCTAAATATAATTTATAATTGGCTATATTTAAACTCTTATATCTCAAAAACTACTGTTTGAAATAAAAATGTATGTATAACTTTACTTAATTTTTCAAAAACTTTTTTGCTGATATTTTGATTTATTTATTTTGATTCACGGATCTCAGATATCCTATACATATTCCTTATATATACTCTAAACTGTTTATATAAATAAATATATATTTCAAATCATATTTATTATTATATTTTGAAAACAGTATATATAATAAAAAGTATTGTAACTTCTCTCAAGAGTATTATCTTTATTTTCGAAAAATACGATAAAAGAATACGATCTTATTACGATACAGTGCGAACAATATTTATCAGAAAAAGTCAATAATTCATGAATAAATGCAATGATAATTTATCTTATACTCAAGGAATGAAAAGTTTTTAAAAGTAACAAATTACAATTGTTACCGAGAAAAAGTAAATTACCAAAGCAAATTACCATTAGTTACCGATTTTTAAAAGTACCTCGTTACAGTTACTTTTACTTAAAAAAGTAACTATTCATTATTTTTCCGTTACTTTTTTAAAATCGATAATCACTATCATAGCGGATGGATGTCTCAAGAGAGTTGATAGGAGTTTTCAAGTCTCCAGCACTATAAATAGTAATGTTCAATCGAATTATGCCCAATCGTGTGTAAAGTAACGACAAAAATAACTATAAAATTTGTTATCATTACAAAAAAAATTTAACTACAATACTATTACAATTAACTAAAAAAAAGTAACGGAGTTACTAGTAAAGTTACCAAAAAAGTAACTTATAACTTTATTACAAGTAACTAGTTACTTGTAAGTTTCATTTTTAATTCCCTGTTTATACTAGTCTTACATAAACACTTTCCTTTAATCGAAAAATTGAACTTTTAGAATTTTTATGCATTGTTGCAGAATCTATATATATATATATAAAGTATTCAGAAAAGTAGATAGAATATCTACGAAAAAAAATGTTTGATTAGGTTGAATTAATTGGAACTCTGATAAAAATGAACGATCCAGAATTCTGGTTAGTCTACTAGATTTCTGATTAAATCTACTGAATGTTGATTTCAACTAGAATGTTAATAGATCTTACAAAAATCTTGTAGATTTAACTAGAATTATGGATTGTTCCACCAGAATTCTAGTTAATTCAATCAAACATTTTTTCTGTGAACAAATGTAGACAGAATACCAACTGACAATAACATGTCAGTCAGATAACATGACATTATTGTTATAATTACACTCGACAATATAAATGTAACGAAACACGTATTGTACGTAACATTATTTAATGTAAAATTATAACATTGATGTTATATTACTGTTAGTTCGTATTTACTGCGCGATTGTAATTAGAAAATTATAAGTATATATTCTTATCGGTGCTCTTAATCTAATTTTTAAATTTATTTAAATTGAAATAAACTTTGATTTTTTAGCACACTAATTGTCAACATGGCTAAATCGTAAAGAAACATTACCTCATTTTGATAAGGAGATTAACACAATGCCTTCTTCTCTGTTTGTGATGTACTGAAGTTTTACGTATAAACGTACTCGTATGCATGGAGCATACTTAATGATAGATAAATGACTTGGCTTCAGAGCTGTACTTAGTTTCAAGTGTGACACTTAGAGTGTAAATATGATACGAAACAAGTTTAGATATTTAATAAATACATACAGAAATATTTATTGGAGATATTTATCCTTAGATAATAACAAACAGCAAGAAATTTAACGTACTTCAGAATAACTGATTTATTTCTTTGATTATTAGTGTCTCGCACATCCATCATGAAAAAAAAATTCCTAAATTTAAATAATATTTTCATAAATGATACTAAATATAAATTTTTTTTTTTACTGTAAATAAATACATATTTATTCAAAAAAAGAAAATAATATTAAATTAAATAATATATGTTTATAAATATTATGTTTAATAAATATTTATTTACAATAAGGAAATGTTTACTTATTGTTAGTACTATTGAAGAAAATATTACTCAGATTTAGGAAAGTTTTTCCGCAATGTATAAACGGATCTTCCGTGTACTTGCTGATAAGTACGATCCTGATAATATTGTATAATAGACGTATATATATATATATATATACTTCGACGGCGTACAGTGAACACAGCGCAATGCAATAAATATATATATTCACTCTTTGAAAGGCTGCATTTTCCTTCACATGTTCGCTATCGTTGTCTTTTAATCCGCGTATGTTTATGCAATTGCCTTTTGCTATCGCGCTTCCGATTATTCCATTTCGTAGTCATTGACCTTTGATAAATATACGTGTAATGTATAATCTCAAAACACGAGTTTTGTCCTTGAATCTAATTAAAGTCTAGTAATAAGATTACAACGATATTGCAATATTACTAAAATGTCCTATTAAATTTATTGCTTACTGGATACATAATAATTATTATACTCAGTAAATAAGAAACATATTAGAAAATTCTAGAATGTGTGTTAATCGTGGAAAAAATTAATAACAGCCATCACTAATTTTTTTCACTATTAAATTACACTTATATAATGGAAGTATTCAGAATAACAACCGCTCATTGAGCGCTCAGTGAGTTTTTTCATGATTAATCTGTATTTCAGGATCTAATATATCAAATGAAAGATCGAGCGTTGTCGTTTTGAATGCACCTAAATTATATATAACTTATAATACTTAACTTATAATACTTAAATTGTATTTCTAGCAAGGTATTTTTACCTCGTAAAAATAACTTGTTCTTTTTCCTAAAAAATAACTCGTTACCATTACTCAAAATATAATGAGTCATTATTTTTTCGTTACTTTTTTCTTTTACTAATAGAATATTATAGCATGTTTTGTCAAAACTTGTGCGCATTCAGTGCACACTATTTTAATCTGAATGTAAAAATGAGAAAACGGAGAAATTTCGGCTCTCTTTGGAGTCCTCTTCAGCAATACATATTTCAAATCCTAATTCATTGAACTTTCCGTCAAATGTGAATCACTAACAAGTTCCCAATTGAAGTGAATCCTGATTTGACATATATAAAATTAAAATTGAATCAATAAGAAAAAAATTATATCCCAGCAACTCATCTCAAACCAGAAGTTCAACATGTCCATGAAGCTTTGGAAGTTTATATTAATAAATTATTGAAACAATTATCTCAGTTTTACATATTAACGATTTATAAACCTTCCTCTCCGAGTAGTCAAAAGATAGTCAAAAACGAACAACTTATAAAAGGACACATCGAAAAACAAAACAATTAAGTCATATCTAACATTACAATATTTCTGATATAATCATAAAGTCATAAATTAGATGTATACAAGAAGATGTATACGTGAAAATACATTCTTTACGAAATGATTTAATTGATCAATTCATTTAGCATCGTCGTATAAGCATGACATAATCCTTCAGTGTCAGACCGTAAATTTAAACCATTTTTTTGCATGAGAATGTGCGCTTTTTCAGAAATTAATCGTTTATTTAAAGATCTCTCATGATCCTAGAATTTGAACATTCTCCAATCAAACTCATGATTCAATTCAACTCTATGATTCGTAATAACAGATTGTGAATTGGTATTCCAATTGATGTGATGGTGTTCAGTAATTCTAGAGTTCAATTTTTTATCAGTTTGCCCTATGTAAAACGTTACAATCTTTGCATGTTATTTTGCATGTTATTTTGTATATTATATTTTTATTCTGATTTTTTGAGAGAATTCCTTCTGGATATCCTCTTTAATAAAGCTATTGAATTTGTTATTATTGTAAAATACTGGTTTTAAGTTTTCATTTTTACAAATTGTTAGAAATTTATCTGTCGTGATATTTATGTAAGGAATTAAAAACCAAGGAGTTGTTTCTATATTTTCCGACTTGTTGTTAGACATGGAATCTTGTTCAACAGAAACACGTCTAGAAGATAAAAATTTTTTTACCATGAACCTCAAAAATAAATGTGACGTCCTTTCATTACTGAAAAAAGTAATTTATAACGCTAATGACGTTATAAGTACGCGTTTCTTGCCTTGATTTCTAGTATATAATAATATACTTGTTATTATTAACATAATTATAAATACGACAAGAAAATTTCATATTCAAGCAATCGTTGCTGCAATGTTGCTGGAATTTTCCAAGTTTCTTGCTTGCTGGGAGTGTTCTGCATTTTGCATTCGCATGTAATATTCTAGCATGCTTGTAAATATAACATGGAAGAAATTTTCCTATCGTATGTATAATATATTGATATGTTATAATAATAATTATTCAAGGTTGAATCTGATTGGCAAATTTGATTGTCGTCCGCGAAAATATCGTATGACACACCGGAAATATGCAATTTTAATCTATTGAGAGTCAGCATAAGCGGAAAATATTTATTTTGAAAATTGTGCCTTAACGGAAGTGTTTATTTTAGTCATAGGTAGTCATATACATAAGCCAAAAATATTTATTTAAAGTTTCGCGAACGAAATAGCGAAATGTACATTCTTTATTTTAGATTTAATTTTAACAGTGAATTTGAATTGGACGACTCTATTAGTGATATTGATTTATCAATTACTTTATCATTACTTGATAAATTATTTTTTTCTTAGTCACAGGTCTTGGAGAGATAAAACACATTGAATTTCTTTCTATTTATATTTGCCTTATACTTTTCCACCAATTAGCAGCCAAACATTTTAAGTGCTCTACTTAAATAAAATAAATATCTCTAATCAATCCGATAAAAAAATTTTCATGCATGAATATATATAAATATGTATAAACATATATGAGTATAAATATGTATAAATATTCATAAACATATATAATTATATGAGATATGTCTATTATAAATGATGTTAACAGTTCAAACGCTTGATGAATAATGAGATTTTAAAACAGATAAAATATATATTTATATTTGAAAAATAAGATACGCAAATAATTATTTATATTTATATTTGATCTTCAATCTTTGGTTCCATGCTTAAAAAGTTTGACAGAATTAGATAGGAAAAAACTCTACCTGATTAATACTCGTATTCAGTTAGACCTTATATTTAAAGCTTCCTTAAATTTATCTCTAGATACTCTGCGAATTATTTCATTGGCTGCTGAGTATCTAAAGATAAATTTAAGGAAGCCTTAAATACAAGGTCTGACTATGAACTACGGACATTTATGTTTTTGTAAATTTCAGATTATTTATCTGAAATGTTTGATAGATTTTTATATTTCTGTATTGTTTTTATATAATTTCTAATTAATTTTCATCTGTTCGGCCCGCATCCGCGTACAGTTCAGAAGAATCACTCGTCCGCGGCGGACGCATCTCGACTCGGATGCTACAATTATATATATTTTTGAAAGTATTGCCAACTTGACTGAGTATTGAAACATACATAATCGTTCCGTTTTGTCCTTTTTGGACGCGGCATAGAGGTGTCCGGGCTTCGCCATTTTCGTGGGCATTGCATCACTTAGTTTTTGTATCTCTCATAAGGATCTGGTCGTATCGACCTCCGTTTATTATTTCGGGAGAAGGGAGCCATTAATTTTAAGAAGAAGAAGGTTCGCTTTCACATTCTTTACTTCAAGATTTTAAAGATAAATATTTTAAGATACTAATATGGCTCTATGATTAGCTTATATCATCTTAGAAACGTCAGAATGATTAATTACAGAGCTATATTGACACAATTTTATCAATACCAATCTTTAAGGGCTATCACGTACAAAATGACATAAGCATAGTATAAGACTTGGACCAATGAACATCTTATGCAAATCAATATAGCTTTTTTCTTTTTGTCGAATGATCATTGGACCAACAGTGTTATGCTATGTTTATGCACGGTAATCCTAAATTTGACAAAAGTAATGTCATGTGCAGTTAGTAACTAAAAAAGATTGCAACATTTTTTTTTAAATAGATTTCGAAATAATGCAGCCTGCTTATGAATCCATAAATATATTAGAACCAATCGCTCGATGAGCTATATTTTGAAATCCATCGTAAAGAAAGTATTGCAATTTTTTAGTTGCTGATTATATGTGATACTATAAAATTTATTGTAAAAAATCACTTGTTAACCGGGTTGTTTTAAAACCGAAAATTTAATCGACGCATGATTTGCAGAACTAAATACGTATATATGTAAATTTATCCTGAAATATTATTGTATACCTATATACAAAGCTTTAGGACGCATTCACACCTGGGCGGAAAGCGAAAAAACAGTAGCCAATCAGAACTCGCGTCAGTAGGAAGTACAAAAAGCTGAAAATGAGTGCTTTCCAATTGCTTAACACATCTTAACAAACATACACAGGAATACACAAAGTGTAGCATTGTACATGATTCAATTGGAACAGAATGTGTACGCTGTGCACGGTTGAGATTTGTTTTGAATAGAGTTAGATTAAATGTAACTTTTCTTGTATTAAACAAAAAAAAAGTAAAAGTCCCGATTATTTAACGCCCTTCAACCTCATTTATAACCGCTGCGGTTAGTAACATGTAATTGTCACTATAAAACATA